TATTCGTGTACCTTTCATGTCTCCAATGTATCTCCACAACGCTGTGTAGTTTGCCTTCTCTGAACTCAAATGTATCCCCCTGCTATTTGATGTTTTTTTATGTCGATGAATACCTCCTGATATACTACTGACAAATCTTATCAGTAGCACTCACCACACACTGACAAACAGCATGAAATTACTATACTGAAGTCTACGACTGTTTAAAGATTCAATGTATCTGTCGTAACTCTTTACTGAATATATAAAAACCTTCACACCATGTTAACACCGAATGTTTCACTAAAAAAATAAAGACATTTTTGCCGAAATACCCAGTAATGAATAATCAGTGCTTAAAATTCCTTTTTTTAAAGTGTACTATGCAAAATGAAATGAAATGACTGTCTGGTATCAACATAGAACTTTGCACAGATGTGCATCAGTTCGAGTTGCCACACCCTCCATTTCGTAAACAAAGCAACATAAGAGAGTAAAGAGACATTCAAAAGACATAAAATAAACACAAGTATGAGGGGAAAGGAATAGTAATATGGAGGAACAATAGAATTTTATTGGATATTATAAACCACAAAGAGTGAATGCATCTGCATCAGCCATTGAGAACAGTCTCCAACCTTCATTGGTCTCTACCATCCCGAGGAACCCAACCAGATAGCAGTCTACAACTCCCTACGTCGTTGATGAAGCCATCTTTTGGTTTTACAACCACTAGCCAACTCTTTTCCAACCTGAACCGTCCTATGTTAGCTAACATTGCCCGTCGAAGAAGGCGATAACTAGGCATGCGCAACACATGCCCTAACCATTTCAATCGGTGCAAAATGAAATAAGTAGTACGACGCTCATATACCATAAAAGTAGTGACAGGATTCTCATCAATAGGCATGAGAAACCTCAGGTGGGGAAAGAAGATAATGATAATAAATTCAATTGTCTAAATATTTATTTGGTATATAGAACATGAAATGAAAATCATGTTAAGCGTTTCCTGCCTTAGTAATTATTACTATTCCCTTGGGTGAGACAGAAGGCTTCAACAGCATATGACCTTTTCACCCTGTTCCCTGAAGTTCTCTTCAGCTGGACCCACAATTACCCATAAGATTCCATCTCCACCTGACACAATCTACACCATGTCACCCTTGGACTAGTGCTCAACTTGCAGTTTCCCATTTAGGTTCCACTCAAGGGACTGGTGCGTGATGCCAATGAACGGTTTCCCCTACGTGTATCCGATCCACTTCCATGTTTGCCGGGCGAGGGGTCCTTGGCAGCTTCGTTGTCACAGATCCCTGTTGTTAATCTTTTTTTGCCCATCTATCTGATCTTCATTATCGAGCCAGCTGTTGATAAAAGTATGAAATCTGTTGGGAATTCTTTTCGTGACGCGGCAAATCTCTAAACCATATAGAAACAACGACTGACTTGACACTAGTGTTGTAAATCCGAATCTTGTTCCTTATGCTGAGTGTAACAGACTTTCACACTGATTTCAGATTATTGAAGGTCCGTCTTGCCTTTCTGATTCTGACTGCCTTTAACATCTTCAACCTTGTAGTCGACTGTAGTTGAAACGATGTTGCCTAGATAGGCGAAAGTGACATATTTCTAAATTCTTCCATTGATGACTGGTGCTTCTTTGAGTTGGTTAGGTATCTTCATCACCTCTGTCTTCTTTGTGTTCACTCCAAGTCCTCTTTTCGCTGGCAACCTCTTCTCCTATCTTCTTGGTTTTCACCTGTAGGTCTCCCAGTTTATATGACATCAGACATAAATTGTCCGTGATAATACTAATTTCAAATTCAAATTGGTAAGGAATAATTCGGTGATGGGCATTTAAATGAGACAGGTGTAGTTTTATTGATAATTGATACAGTAATTTTAAGCTACTATACTCTTAAAATTTCGAAAGCCCTTTCTTTTTATCTTTCACAAAAGATTAAATATCTATTGTACTAAGTACTTGATTATCAACCAGCATACCCTGATTGCGAAATGTCTCCTACTTGGTGCGATTTGAAATCTAGGGCAACATGTATGTTTCATAACATTTTGTAAAGTGAATTTTATTCATTGGTAAGTTAAACAGTTGTATTTAGTCACTGCAGTAGTGATGGACCTCAAGCAGTTGTCCCCTGAACTCTGCAGTAACACAACACTAATGCTCCTTCTGTTCCAGATACTCAAAGAAAAACTTACTTCCACGGTGTGAGCAGCAGGGAAGTAACAACCACCCACACACTTCCAAAAGCATACAAAGCTCCCCTATCAACCTTTATCTACGTCAACTATATCATCTTGCTTTCCTCCAACTGCTAATACTATCTGACAGACAGATCCCTCATCTCTTAACTTTGCAATCAATATTAGCGACGAGAGCCGGGAAAAAAACCACGTACCAACTTCAAATTGGAGCATTTAACATCAGGACAAAAGGCATCACTAGCTAAAATTCTAACATTTCAAACCACTAATGTATGTTGTGCTTTGGAGGCAATGTACACAAGAGCCAATTGTGGTTATTCACTTAACCCCACTTGGCCATCAGAGTCAACCTGCAGAACTCATCCTACGGACGTTAGGAGATTTCTTGTCTAATTCGCGAAGATTCTCAGGTATACCGACAGCATCGAGCGCTAGGGCAGAAAAATCACTACATGACTGGATCCCAATGGATAGTCGTATGTATGCCATCCATCTGAACAGACCTGTTAAAGGTAAGATTGTAATACCCGGAGATATCTTTTCATAACTTCTGCATACACCACGAAAGACTGTAGTTTGAACGAAATAAAGCAAGTGTTCTATCAAAAGCTGTCTAATTGGCTGCTAAAAGTAAAACACTCAGATCCAGTCGCTTAAGTAGACTTCAATGCTCAAGTAGAGAAGTTGTGTCAGTCAGAGAGGTATGTTGGCAGCACCTACAGAGTTCCATGCTAACGAACCGACAACGGTGATCGTCTTCTACAATTCTGTTTAGATAGTCATCTATTCCTGATTAGCACTAACTTCAAACACAAAGAGACATTGCCTAAACTTGTAACCTCCACTGTAAAATCTACGAAAGACTCAAATAAAATACAAGCTATTGATGGCGAGAGTCGGTATGAGACTTCCGGTTCTTCTGGAACACTTGTGTGTATCTCCAACCACGACCTAGTCCATGCACGTATATAGCTACGATTGAACGGACATAAGAAACACACAACAATAAAGCAGTTAAGCTTCCAACTTGATCAGAAAACTAAGTAACTTTCCAAGGAGGATATAGTCAAACGCCTACCAGAGACTGACAGTAAAACTCATCCTGAGGAGACCTGGCATAATATCCAGTCAGTCGCAGAAAGAGTGGTGAAGGCTATTGATAACCAACACATTCTAATAAACGCTTAGGCTTTGGTTCATCCCACCCAGAGTCTGTAAAGGTAGGTTTCGTTAGTGTCCATATAGTTGGGCCAGGAGCCTAATTAGTAAACCAGAAGATTCAAATAATAAAATCAAACCAATAAGGAAAATATTACTAGTGAATAACCGCCCACGCAGAGGAAAAACAACAGTAGTTGTGAAAATGATACAAATAACATAAATAATAAAGGATTCAACGCCTTTATAGTACGGTCATATAAAGAAGGAAGATCAGAGGCCTTACACGTAGGATGGATTCTTAATAGTGCTGGAATTAGGGTGGCATTTAAACCAACCGACTCACTTAGAGATAAACTTTGTCGGCTTAAGGACACGATAGATCTATCTGAGAAAAATACTGTAATTTACCAGATACCATGTAATGACTGTGATGTCAATCACATAGGTAAAACTAGTAGATCGGGGTCAACTAGATTATTGGAACATAAAAATTTAGCTAGACCTGGAATAATTGGTCCTGCTAAGTTAAATAACCTAAGAAAACCAGCTCAGCCAATGAGATGCATTCGCTTGGATGTAATCACAAAATAGGGTAGGATAGGGGGAAAGTAGTAAAGAGTAATATAATTAGGTACTTATCGAATCAACACCAAATAAGTGAAATTGAAATGATGCAACACCTATACCTGATATATATATATAAACAACAAGCGGGAGACAATACATATAAAGCAAATTATGAAGCTGCGTAAACACATTGATATGATTATGAGCAATAAATTGCGCTGAAAACATCATCCAATTACTAATAATGTATTGCAGCCATGGGCAAAGTTAAACTTTAAGCACCACCAACTACCAATCAGCGAATGACCTCGAACGCACCAATCACGTGGAGGAGGCGTTTTTGTGTATGGAATACATATATTTATGAAGAAAAAATGCATGAAAACTGTATAAATGTGTTACAGAGGATACGGCAATTGATAAAAATAGCTCTCAGTTTTAGGTTGGAGTATCAACAGAGTATAATTCCATTATGGGCAAAATTTATTTTGATAAAGTCTCATAGTGTTATGCAGTAACATTTACTGGGCAATAAACTGTGCTCGAAACGTCATCAGTAAATATTACTGTATAACACTGTGAGACTTTATCAGAATAAATTTTACCCACAATGGAGTTATACTCTACCACAGTGCAGAGTAATTTAACTACATTCTATGCATGTAATTATTTAGGTCTTCTAACCCTAACAACAACCCTAATCTTTCCTAAACCTAGCCCTAACGTGAAAATATGCCTAAACTAACTCTAATGTCACCTTTAATAGGTTAACCTAACCCTAACTTCTCCTTGACCCAAACCGTAACTTAATCCTTCCCAAACCTGAGCTGAAACTTCCCAGATATCACATTTAATAAATAACCTAACACTTCGATAAGCATGTTTAATTGATAATGACAACACTACTTGCCAGGTTTCACTAACTTGCTCAGTGAGCGCTTCAAGGTCATTGCTGCGGTCACACTCCACTGATAGCGGAGTGGTGCTTAAAGTTTAACTTGGCCCTTACCACATAAATGTTATACTGACCAAACGGTTAATTACAACACGATAATAATGATGAGGAGGAAGAGGAAATAATACTCATTTATTGACTAAATGAAATTATGCTTTTAAGCTGAAGTACAAAAAGTAAATCGTTATGGTCTTGTCTTGGAAAACTTGCAAAAAATAATCATGACATGGCTGACAGCAGTAAGAACAACAACAATAAGAAGAAAGAAAAATAACAAAGTAGTAATGTGATAACAGAACATTCGTCTAGCGATCCACTGTGTTGACAAACACATACATCATATAACCATTTAGGCATAAATCTGTATTCGCAAAAATAAAAAGTATATATTTGTAAATATTAAGCTGAAGAGAAGTAGGACGTATATTGCATTCACATTTTTTTCCAAACTCTGAAAGTATTTTGTTTTCTACGTTAACTGATAGTTTTTGTGCATACAAATAAGGAAACAAGAAAAGGTGTGCGGTAATTCAACTGCGAAAGTCATTATAAATAGAACTAATGATCACATTTCAGAGAGAGAGAAAAAAATAGCGAAATATACATTATACTACTCAGATAATAAAGCTAAGTAGTTAGTAAACTTTTGACAAGCTTCTAATTATCTCTCAGATATATTTTTGTTCCTTCTCCGAGCAAGTAAGTAGTTTCAACTGACGAAATTAAACTGAGTACAGTATTTTTCTTTTTTTTGTTAATTAGCTTCATCCCATGGATTTAGAATAAACGTTTCGTGGAATTTCGATAATTTAGAAGCCAAATAATTAGCCCGGTTTCTGTAAAGTATAAGAGGATATATAACAGTACATTAGTAGTAGTATGTTTTGATCCGAATAAAAAAAGAAACAGGATTACACATAAATCAAGACTATTTTAACTGTGAAAATACCCGTGTCTTGCATATTGTTTATTTTAAACATCACCTGTTGACAAAGTAACTTTTTCATGAAAACACTGATGATAATATTTACCACTTTTTTTTAAAGGAAACTTGTTGCACGTGATTAACGTGATTATTTATCAGTAAACTTACTTTATCGTTATGATATCAAACATAGCCATTACAACAGTTAACTTATACTTACATTTCAGATATATTTATATAACTATTCGTCAGACTGTGCTTCGGTGGTATAGAGAGATAGGATGCTCGCCAACCGAGCAGGTGGTCCGGGGTTCGATCCCCGGCCAGCGACGCACTTCTTTAACTCGCTAAGCCAGTAATAAAACTGGTAAAGAGGGAAGGTTGGGCATGAGGCTAACAATCCTGTCCCATAAAAATAAACACCACTGCTACCGAAATTTCAAGTTTGCAGCTTGAAGCCCTATGTTCCACCGGGAACGTAAAGGAATAAAAACAAAAATTCGGCAGACTGTGGTGATATAGTCCAATGAATGTATCACTAACTTATGCAAACAGAAAAGGTATATGCTTCAACGTAACTAATGACAAGCTTCGTTTGGGTGATTAGCAACAGATAAATACTTTTCTACTGGTAAAATCCAATAAAATTGCATGATTCAAACAGTAAGAATACTCTAACTTCATTTATTCACATAGCACAGAGTTTTAAATACCATTTATGTGAAATTGAACAGTTTTCAACGAGACTCAATATTTTAGTTGTATCAGGTGATTTTATTTGTTCTTGCAGCCACTCTGAAATGTGTTCTGTAGCCTTGGTATGCAGAGGTCGATGGGTCTTCTCTATGTGCACATGTGACTACACATACATGTAAATTGGTAAACGCAGTGGGATGTAGCATTATCGTTTGGATGATGTGAGGGTTTACCGGACAACATGAATCTCATTGTCTCTATGAAACTGAGTTTAGCTGCATAGTGAGTTCTGTTAAGTGCCGCTCTGAGTATTCGTTTAGTGATTAGATTTTGATGACCACCGTTGAACAGCAATGATTCTTAAACTGGATAAATACAGTACAAAATAGCATACTGTTAACATACGTGGAAGAAAATAACCACGTTCTATTTTTAGATGTACTCATAGCTCACCGATAGGATTGGCCAATAAGGCAATGTCTATAGGAAGCTCACCTAGACATCACAGCATTTAAATTATCATAGTTTGATTGGACACTAGTAACTAGTGTGATGTGTCTAGTTCATTCTTTGGTGCAGACTGAATTCGATCAGTCAGGTTTGCAATGTGGCCACCATTCTAAGTAGCTCGTTATCGCGGTGCACATTGATTTGATGATATCAGATGGTTGGAGGCAATCAGCAGTAAGTCTCGGACCTAGGTTTCGTGCTAGTTGGCAATCGTCAGCAAGGCGTATCTGCAAAACGTGATGGTGGCCACATTGCGAAACCTGACTGACAGAATTCAGTCTGCACCAAAGAAAGGACTAGACACATCACACTAGTTACTGACTAACTAGTTACTAGTCCAATCAAAAATACCCAATACAGTCCTACAGGAGATCAATCGCGAGTCCGAACAGCTCAGTGGTAACGTCTCTGACTGCAGCACTGGGTGACACGGGTTCAAATCTCAGAAGAGACATGAGTTCCTTCAAGGTTGCAGATACGCCTTACTGACTGGTGACTGAAAACTAGCACGAAACCTAGGTCCAAGGCTTCCTGTCGACTGCCTCCAACCATCTAAAATTACCATAGTTTCTGTCCACTCAAATATAAAAATCAATAGCTGAATGCTGATTTAGAAGCATTCAACATACTTGCAGAGAATACTATTGAAGGAGAAATACAAAAAAATCCCACTAAAATATTATCAGACAACCAGTGAAATTCATTAAAAGCTACAGAAGTGTTAAACAAAGGGCTCCACCAATCCAATCAACCCCCAAAAACGATGTTTATATATCTCTTTAATCCAAGAGTGATCATTAAAGGCTAGTCACTACACGAACACTCACAGAGGTACTTAACAGAAGTCACTATGCAGCTTAGAACTCAGTTCCGTAGAGACAATGAGATTCATGTTGTACGGTAAACCCACACACCATACAAACGACAGTTTTACATCTCACTGTGTTTACCAATTTACATGTATATGTATTCACAGATACACATAGGGAGGACCCACTGACCTCTGCATACCAAGGCTACAGCACACATTCCCAAGTGGCTGCAAGAACAAATATAATCATCTGATACAATTAATCCTGGAAAAAGATGTCCAACATCATCGATTGTATATGACATCATAGAGACAAGTCACAATATTTTGGTGTTTGGAACTACATGTATTCTGTAGAATTCTTGATGAAGCTAAACGTGCACAGCCAAAAAGCTGAAATAACTGAATGTGCGTGTGTTTGTGTATGTGTTGGGATTCCACCGTAAACTATAGTCAATACTACAAAGCATCTGTCACATAAAGCATTTCAATAACTGGGAAAATGCAAGGACTACGATTAAAATGTGGTGCGACGGTAGAAGACGACAGACTTGGAACGTTTATTTGCAATTTGGTATCTCCATATAGCCAAATTATGTAAACCTTATCTTCAAACCGCCATTTGCACAGATCTTCCAAGTTGTGGTACTTCTAGCCTTCATACATATATATACTACTGATAAATCGTATCAGTAGCACACGCCGTATTGGCTAGTTTGAATACGCTTATACATTAACTAATAATAATATTAGCAAAATGATAAATGAAATAACTATCAGTTTTTTTTAGTGATATAGAAATTCAAACAGCCTCTGTGTTTTCACATATCCCGTGAGATATCAACTCTAACAGATAATTCGATAAACGTATTAAACACTTCGATCAACACCAAAAAACGCCTACTCACTTCAATTTCTTTGCATCTGCAGTTATTAAATCTAAACGGCTGATATCATTATCCAATTGTTTTACTTCTTCAACAAGACTATCACCAAAAAGTTCCACTTCATTGGATAATTTTTTATGAGCCAAATGTAATTCTCTTTTAGCCTACGAAGAAGAGAAAATATAAGAATACGGTTAACAAAAGGTAAGCGCGAGCTGATTTCAGCACGCACTGAGTCCAGCTGGGTCACAAGATAACTGACTGTCTTTTCATTTTTTTCGGGTAGAAAACAACATAACTGTTTTGAATGGAAAGTGTTCCACTTCTTTGCTGACGGAAACTGGTGTGTCTCAAGGCGCTGTACTCTCTCCATGCCTTTTTTTCTTTCTTTTTGCATGACCTTTCATATTCTTCCAAAGCTAACTTCATCAAATATACCGATGATTTAACCATCTCTGTCCCAGTAGTTTCTGCACTGGATTGTTCTTATATGATGAATAGGTTCTTATCTGTAGTTAATAAGTCGTTTCACTCAAATGGTCTCAAACTGAATCCATCTAAATGTTATATTACTGATTTCAGTTTCACAGGCGAAAAAGACTTGCGTGGACTGATTCAGTCGTATGATTCCTATAATGTTGACGGCACTGTGATAGGGAGTAAATCGAATACCTCTTATCTCGGTATCAGTTTCCCTTCGAATCTCTGTTGGTCGCCTCATATCCGGTTGATTTCTAAGAAGACTTTTCGTCTGACTTATCACATTAAGAAGCTGAGACTTTCTGGAATAACTCAACCTCTCCGCTTACAATTTTTCAACTCATGTATTCTGCCCATTCTTCTTTATTGTTCGCCCCCCCCCCTTATTCTTCCTTGGGCTTCTCAAAAAAGACAATGTCATGTTACGTAGAACACTGAAGGCTTTAAGTGTGGTTAGTGGTGTGCCTTTGACTCAGTTAACAGACATTACTGTCAATAGGAATTTCAGTTCCTGCAAGCATTTGGCTAAAGTTATCTTGTTTGATACCGAACATCCTCCTTATTCGCAACTTGTATCTCCTTGTATCTCTTCGGGTAAAATCAGAAGAAACTCCATAAGAATTTACGCTCGTACAACTAAATATAAAAATTCTACCATATCATATTTAGCACGTGTTTTTTGTGAAGAGTTAAATGTCAGAGAAAAGAACTTATAAACTTTTTTAATCGGTAATCTGAACTGCAAAGTATAAGCAAAGATTATTATTACATGTATTATTCTCTATGATACTATCTACTTATATATCATTATGTTTCCACCAACATTCTGTTTACAGAGGTTTCATTATTAATTTATTATTATTACTATTTTAAATTTTATGTATGTACATATTTATAAAAGGAGCTGAATTGCTGCAATATGTATAAAAACGCTGAAAATTCTATTCTGTATAATTATTATTGTTTTTGGAATAAAGTGATTATTATTATTACTAAACCTAAAAATTATCAATTAGAACGGAAACGAAAAGGAAGTGAAACTTCACAGGATACAGATTTGACTTAAGCACTGCTGCTTGTGTTACACCAGTTGTCTCTCTACATAGCGAATCAGTTATATTTAGTATTCTCATAAATTAATAAAACACCAATATACAAGCTTAGACGTTTATCCTTTGAAATTTGAACGTCTACTTTTTTTCAGTCAACGGTGTACAACTTTTTTTGTTGCTCTACATGGGATTGTTTCCCGTTTTAAGGTATGCGCCTTCACTTCGGATGGCTTTTACAATTGTACACAAAAGACAGAAACGTACTTTGAAATGTACTTCAAGCATCCAATACAGTCCTACAGGAGGTCAATCGCGAGCCTGAATAGCTCAGTGGTAACACGTCTCTCTGACTGCAGCACTGGGTGACGCGGGTTCGAGTTCTAGAAGAGACATAAGCTCCTTTAAGGTTGCAGATACGCCTTGTCGACTGAGTGCCAACTAGCACGAAATCTAGGTCCAATGCTTCCTGCCGATTGCCTCTAACCATCTAATAGACAGAAACGTGAATATATATCCATCGCCTTCACTTTTTTAAAATCCCCTTAGTCCGGTCTATCTTCTTATGAATGAATCCAGCTTTAAAACAAGCAACAAAAGTTAACAAAGCAAGATTTAATGAATTCATCAAATTTCAGTAGAACTCTTCATCCGGATACTCTACATACAGGTATCTGTGTACAAAAGAAAATGGTAGTCACTCTGAATCTACCACACGGTAATATGTTTACCTATTAACTGCTATTATTATTATTATTAGTTTATTCTACCTCTTATTACTATTTCTGATTCATTTAAAACTATCTTTTATCATTATCACTATCTTAACTCGTTTAACTATTATTATTATTGTTACTATCATTAGCATTACTACTGAATTAGTTGTATTCTCTGAGCGGGTTGATTTAATTGCGAACCTTTCGTCATCCTTCTAGACAACATCTTCAGCACAGGTTTTAGTATAAAATGAACTTATTTAAATTCTCCATGAATGATGTAATTATATCTCCTGGCAACCACTGTTGTGACTGGTTGTTAATTTACGCCTCTATTGATCATTTTTATTGACTTGGAATATGAACTTTCTTGTCATGTGATTTACTTTTTATTAGCTGGTGAATTTGGTTTATAATAATGTTTGTTAATCACTGATTCACTTGAGTACCAGGCTTCTATTATCATAAATATTATTTAGTCCGGAATTTTTGATATATTCAAGTTCTTTCACTTACTGATAACTAATTGTTTATTTAATTGATGTAATTGAACCGTAATGCATTTTATCTTAATTTTATAACCACTGTGTGTAGAGTATCCAACTGAAGAGTTCTACCGAAATTTGATGAATTCATTAAATCCTGCTTTGTTAACTTTTGTTGCTTGTTTTAAATTCTTATCAGGAAATAAATGTTCTCAATTCAGCTATTGACATAAATCGATAGAGCCAGGTTAATCTGTTCAGACGACTGCCTCAATGAGGAGCTTAAGATTATTAGAGAATTACTTAGAAAAAATGGTTATCCAGATAAATTCATTGAGAAAAATATGAATTCAGCACCTAGGAGAGTCAGTATAGCAACAGTTCCGAAAAAACCAATGTTCATAAAACTGCAGTTCCTCGGTGATAAAATCAATGAAATAATAGCACAGCGCCTGAAGAATACAGTTAAAAGAGCTTACTATGCAGCAGAAGTACGTTGTCTCTTCACAACCACCTCTATTCTACGTTCGAGAAATAAGGATAAACTACCTAAATTTGCCTCTTCTATGTGTATCTACCAGTTTGACTGCAGCTGCGGAGCCAGCTACATTGGGCGTACAATTAGGCAGGTTCATCATCGTATTTCCGAACATCATCCAACATGGTTAAGCAAGGGACAAACAAGATCTATTCGTAGCTCTATTTTAGCACACCTTGTAGACAGTGAACATAAGGTTGATGTTAATACAGCATTTAAAATTATCTATCGCATTCCTACTAACCTTAATTTTGCTCTACGAGTTCGTCTTCTACAGACAGCTGAAGCAATAGGAATCCACCTGAAGAAGCCAAACCTGTATGTTCAGAAGAAATTTGTACAGCCACTTTCCTTGCCTTGGCCATCGTTACATGACTGTATAAACCGGACTATTTCGCCCCCCTCCCCCTAAACCTTTAAAATTATAAAAATTATAATTGTCCAAATTATTTTATTTTTCTGACCATTTCATCTTTAATTACATGTTATCCTTGTAAAATTAATTTATTCTAACCATTTCTACCTTTTAAATGTGTATTGATTTTCTTCGTTAATTATCAACCCATTGACATTTTGACACTGACTAATTATTGTTAACAAACATATCAGTGCCACTTGATTGGTAAACTGTTGTGTATTGTAAAAAATGCTATATATATTAGAGTAGAGCCAGAGATGAGGATCTAATTGAAAAGTAAATATTTCTTCGCTCAATCTTTCTGTTTTATAAATCGATTCATAACAGTGTATCTGTCAGCTATTCACCATCTTCATTATTGTGAAGACCGTCTCCATCTTACTTGATAAATTCCATCAGTAAGTTAATTTCGCGAGAAGACAAATGGAATGAATACTGTTTCTTTGCGTTCGTTTATTACCACTCCCAGGTAAGATATACTGTCTGAACGATGATTGCATACGTAAGCGTAGGACTTACATAGTTATGAATTTTAAAAGTTTCCCAGACTGAGTATTTTCTAATGACAAAGTGACTTAAAAGTTTAACTGTTTTGCAGATTGCTCTTCAGCATATTATGAATTCCACTAAATCATAAACTTACTTGATGACGTGCATTTGTACTGGTCAGGTCAACGATTAGACGTAATTTATGTGAAGCAAAATCGACATATTGACGTTTAAAAGCTGCTTCTTTCGCTTTATTTGTCCAAGAAAGACGTTCGTAAAGATAAAGACCACCGTATATACCAGATGCAACAGCTAGAACACGCCATCCAACAGCTTTTGATAGCTAAATAGTAGGAAACAATAAATTGAAGAAACGTATTAAGCATGGGCTAACTGACTGACTGGTTTCAACATAGAACTTTGCACAGATGTTCACCAGTTCGGATTGCCACACTCCTTCCTTGTAGCACACAAACTAACAGAAGAGAGTAAAGAGGGGTTCAAAAGATAGAAAATAAACAGAAGCGTGAGACGAAAAGAATAGTAATATGGAAGAACAGTAGAATTTTATTGGATATGATAAATCACAATGAGTGGATGCATCTGCGCCATTGAGAACGATTTTGAACCATGTCACCAATTGTCTCCAGTCATTGGTGTTTACCGTCCCGAGGACCCCAACCAGTCAGGAAGTCTACACCTTCCTACGTGGCTTAAACTAATTGTTGTGGATTTCATTGACTGATGCTACCATGTTTTGGTTTGACCACCAGTGGCTGTTTTCCAGCCTGACCCTATGTCAGCTAACATTGCCCGTTGAGGAAGGCGACAGCACATGTCTTAACCATCTCAATCGGTGTAACTTCACAACCTAGCACTGGACCTATGCCTAACCTCAATATTGCTCACCTTATTATACCACTTAACACTGGAGACTGAACGCAGACATGGGCATGCAGAAAACTATAAGAATACCAAAAATTACAAAAAGTGAATGAAATAATATTCATTTAGATAAATTAAAACAAACTTTTCATAAATTAGTTCACTATTCAGATAACTTATGTAAATAAGAAATAAGAGAAATTGTTTCTATAAGCACCAGTGAGAGAACACCCAGTTCAAGACAAAAAGTCTACTCGTATATACTCGTCTGGATCATGAAACGAAACGCGGATCGCTTAGCTGAAGTTCAAATGACCACAGAAGCTTATGGCTATAAGATTTAATACTGTGAAATATTCCCATATGATGAATTAAAAGTCGATCTGAACGAAGAATATTCTTTTCAATAATTTCTCTTCAGGTTCTTACAATTATAAAATATAATATTTGTTGTCGTTACAGTAATGGCCAGTTATGCGGCGGATACATTTTTTACGTAGACTAACAGATTAGTTATGGGGTGTCAACATAAATAGTGTTTGTGTGACAAGCGTTCTAGGCTGAAATCGATTACATACGATTATAAAATGGAAGACAGTGGTGGTGATTAGTCATAACAGATTCATACAATGTGGGGTAGGGAAATTGACAAATCAGTTCAAGGTTATAAAAGGTGTCAGGTGAGTGGCTAGTACATAGTATGTATTAAAGAGAAGATAATAAGACTGCAACGAGAGGTTCATCATGAAATAACCAATGTGTGAAATGAAACAGGTGGAGGCATATATTGAGAGAAGAGATAATATTACTAATAATAAGTCCGGATAGTATAAATGGAAAATTCGATAGTATTGAAAGAATGTTGGAATAATGAAGGGTATAAATTATAATGAATAATAATAATAATATTGTAATAATAAGCAATGAGAAAACGAAAAAAATCAAGAGGGTTAAGGGGAAGGGGCGCTCTTGGTGAGAAGAATCATTAATCCAAGTTTGGCCACGGTAGGAACAGTGTCTGGACGTGTTCTTTTTGGATACAAAGTTCCGGTTTAGTCGATCTTATTGCAACAGCTTCAGCTATGTGTAGGAGACGTAAGCGAACTGTACGTGATAACGACTTTAGAATTCGGTATATAACCCTGAAAGCTGTGGTGGCGTCGATGCGATGTCTAGTATCGACCAAGTGTGACAGAATCGAGCTTTTTATGCACTTAATTCTCCCTCTGCTGAACCAAGCTGGTAAATGTTCTCGAACTTGTAGACGAACCTGCCTAATCGTCCGCCCTATATAACTTGAACCACAGGAACAGTTAAAATGGTATATGCATTATTGAAAAGAATATTCTTCGTTCAATGACTTTAACTTATGGTTATAAACTGTGGGTGATCTGGTTTGAAATCTACAACAGTGGAACAGATGCACTAATTCTTTAACCTAATACTAATTGAGATATCTGTCTATTGTCTTTCTTCTCTTAACTTATCGCACTGCAAAACCTGTGATTGTATTATCTCTATTTCCTTGTTCTTCTTTTTTTATAACCCTTTGGTGAGGAGATATGAGATGTGGTTAGCTGGTCCACTGGTAAAGGAATGCTGGGTCCTACGTAGACGATATGTATCTTGTGTCGAGGTTTTCACTAAGAGCTAAGGCAGATAAACGGTTACATAAAACTTCTTTGAACGTTTCTTAAAATTCTAAATCAAATGTCATCACCGCTCAACTGCCTTAAGGTTAACAGTGCGTTCTTTAAAACATAACCACTTTTCGATTTTTCCATCTTTAGCATTTCGAGAGGAAGATAGGGCTTCAAGCTTTGAAATCTTAAAGTCCCAGTAGCCATTGTGTTGTTTTTATGGGTTACGCAGTTGCTGGCCTCACACCCAACCTTCCTTCTTTTCCGAGCTTATTACCGTCTAGTAAACTGTGTCTGTCAAGAATCAGCCACCGGACAACGTGAGTGGGTGGCGAGCATTCCTACCATTGGACCACCACCAGATGCACCTACACCCCATACTGGAATTACTAACTAGAATAATAAAGAAATTTTTAACTTCCCACACATACCGTTAACAAAAATAATGATCAGAATGCATAGATAAAAAAACCTAATGCATTTTTAGAAAAATGTTCAAAAAACTACATTTCAAAAGATACAGAAAGCAGAAACTGCACACTGTAAGACTGAAATATTGACTAAGCAAATGTGTGTCACATTATTACATGGTTAAACTCAATCACCTTGTGCAAAAAACAAAAATTGATGTTTCATAATTCTAATAAAAAATAATAATAATTGCGACATAAATGTTACAATGTCACAAAGAATCACATGAAAAATGTAGTCATTCAATTTGTTGTCTTGATAGAATGATCAACAGTAAAGGATTGTGCGATACCTATTAAAGATTTGTGCTAATTTTCTACGAAGAGACATATGTTAAGGAATTAAGTTTAACTATATTTAACAGATTAACACCTACATAGACGTACAATCAGTGTTTGGATCTACCCCTAGAAGAAATGACAAAATTTAACCACCTCTGTTAGAATGGTTCAGGCGAATGAGTCAGTTTCTGTGCATCTGAAGCTTCAATGACCAGTGTTAATGACTACCAAGAAGAAATACCCTAAAAAATAATTAAGAAGTATATCTAGCTGCAAATTACTAAAGGAATCCAGTACAAGCACCTACCATTCTTAAAGTTTTGATACACATAAAAACAAAACTTGGAGGATCTGGACTTCGCCGATGATATATGTCTGATTTCCCACAAACTGGAAGATAGCAAGGAAAAGCAACAAGTTGGCAGAAGAAGCATCAAAGATAGGACTTCCTTCAGGTGAACATAGAGAAAAGAGATAATGAAGATTCCTGGACAAGAACAGCAACAACAGACAACGATCAGCATAAATGGGAGGAACCTGAAAGAAACAACCTCTTTTACCTACCTACCTGGAAGCATCGTTTCAACTACAGGTGGAACTGACGAGGATATCAAAGCAAGAATCGGAAAAGCAAGACAAGCTTTCACTACTCTCAAGTCTGTGTGGAGGTCAACAACACTCAGCATCAAAAATAAGATCCGAATTTTCAACTCCAATGTGAAGTCAGTGCTACTATACGGATCAGAGACTTGCACTGCGCGTCATAAAGAGCATCTCAAACAAACTACAGACCTTCATTAACAGTTGTCTTCGCTCAATACTCAAGATCAGATGGCCAGAAAAGATCAGCAACAGGGATCTTTGGGAACGAACCAACCAGGAACCGATTGTGAAACAAATAGGCAGGAAGAAATGGAGATGGATTGGCCATACTCTGAGGAAACCATCAAGTGACATCACTAGACAAGCCATTGCTCGAGTGGAAACCGAAAGGGAAGCGGCGAGTTGGTCGTCAGTGCAAGGGTGACTTGGAGGAGGTCATGTGAAGAGGAGATGAAAATGTGTGAGCAGACTTGGAGCCAGGTGAAAATTCTAGCAGAGAACCGAACGCAATGGAGACGCACGGCTGAAGCCCTATGTTCCTCTAGGAATTAAAGGAAACAATAATAATAAAATAAAACAAAACGCCTCCAAATGTTGGAGTGAATATAATAGATTATTCATGAGAGGGAAACGTTTCTAAAAATAGTAATCAAAACAATGCAGAATTTAAAATATTCTTTTTTCAAAAAAAAAAAACAAATTTTCTCTTAATTATCTAAACAATTAACTGTCTAATTCATTAAGCTAGACCCAGAAACATGCCCATACCCACACCACCCACACACACCAGAGCAGCTTAGGGGTGTTTCCTATCGAATGCGATGTGTTCAATCAGTTTTAATGGCTCTTTCTACCAAGGACATGCAAAAACAGTTATAAAGCTAGAAACAAACTTGGTGACAAGCTTTGCTGAGGTTACACATAGTTCCAGTGGTTCTCAACAAAAATTTACATATATAAAGTAACATCAACAACAGTAATCTGTAATAAAAGTACATTTTCCAACACTAAAAATAATGTAAGGAAAGTAGTCTTCAAACAAATGAATATAATACTTACAATTCCCAAGAGAATAACCGCTCCAACAGAGCTTCGACTCATTAGCGATGGGAATAAATCAATAGTCAGCGGAGATCTGGCCAATAGAGATGAATTAACAAAACTAGAAGAAATCCCTTCAGATTGCGTCCAGTGATACTAATTGGGGTTTAAATGATATGATATAAAAAGAAATTTTGAATTTTAAGAAAATTGTGAAAGCCATATATGATCAATCAAAAAGAGTAGGGACATTTTGAGCAACAGAATCACTTAATATCTAACTTTAAAAAGTTATCTTAACAATATTATTTTGCATGACACGAGCAAAATACCAAACCGGTGAACAATTTACAGTAGATATTCACTCCTGTACATGACCTAGTACCACCGGAGGACAGGGGGAAGTAGATTTCAGTCTTCTCCTCAAAATACTCTCATGTGGCTACGCGTGCATAGCCCCTGCCAAGTGGCTATGGTGCTCCTCACAAAAGTGAAAGAGCGAATGCGAATGCCCGGCACTTAAAACCCGACTGGTAGACATGCTAATCTGACTAGAGGAGCTGGAAAACCTTGACCTCTAATCATATTAAATAATACACTATATATTCACATCTTAAACTACAAGTGATTCACAAAAACACAGCATACTACGGCTTCTACATGAAGCATTCAGTGTTTGATCTAAATCGCCGACAAATGAGGAGTTTAATGTCTACAGCAGATAGAACGAACCAACATTCAAAACTACTACATCTAAAGACATCCAAACTGCAAGATGTTATACACTATTGACTGACTTATATGAGTAGTTGAATACCACTCGGGTGGTTTCAAGTAATTCGGCCCTCTGAGTTAAATCAGAAGGTCATCGTGATGGCTTGGAGAAAAACGAACGAACGAAACGGCTGTCCAGTGTTTAGATCACTTCGATCTGAACAGCAAGCACTACTGGTTGATGTGACTGGCATCCAACTAGTCATATCGATCAGTAGTATATGACTGGAAGCAGGTGAACGATATTTCATGATTTAAAATACTTAAGTGAGCATCATTTACCAGCATCAATTTCTCCACAAATGCTGAAGAAATAAGGTTTCAAAAAGATATATGTTATATTTGTATTTGCATATCTGAGCAAGCTATTTTATTTTATTTTATTATAGCTTGATTCCATACAGTATTTTGGTACAAGTATGAAATTTTCAGCATGTGATAACGGTAGCCCAAATTTAGCAGGCCGACCATAGATATCGGGTGTGCGTCGGCGGGGGATCGAACCTCGGACTATGTGCGTGGTCGGCGAGAGTCCTAACCGCTGTGCCACCGACGAAGTGTTAACGTGCTTAAGATAGACTTCATCACGAAATAAAACCAACCAGAGAACAAACCAAAATCAAGAAGACCTGTTTTACACTAGTTTGGGACTCTTTGGCAGTACACACACCCACGATTTCGCTACAAACCGAGGCCACAACGACCACATCACTAACTAAATACTACATCAGAATCTAATAAAATATGATTACGAACTTCTAACTGTGCATTTTCTCATTTTTTTCTGCATTCCTAGTGGGACATAGGGCTTTCTGCTTGGGTTTTGAAATTCCAGCAGCGGTGGTGTTTTTTACGCAGTGGGGTTGCAAGCCCCACTCCGAAGTTTCCCTCATTGCCGGGCTTCCTATCGACTAAGCGGAGTTTCGAAGTATGTCAGTAGGGAATCAAACCCGGACTATGTGCATGGTTGGGGTGAGCACTCCACCACAGAACCACCGACGCACTCTATCCGTACAGTACTAACTTTATTCACGCCTAATAAGATAATCTCATGTACGTAACTATTTATGACAATAACTAATCACAGTACTGAGAGGAAAAAACAATAAAGTGGATTATAACTTACGCCAGTTGCTGAACGACGTGGAGTTGATAGCCTTTGAAATAATGTACCCAAACCAAGAGAAAAACGAAACTGTATATCTTCACGAAAATTAGCGCAAAGATTACGACAGTCAACATGAAATTCAGGAGAAAATGCAGTAGGATCCACTAATTGAAGGATGCGACTTTTACAGGCTTCATCTGAAACAATTGCAGCATGCTTATCTAAAATTTAAAAGGGTTAAACACCATAAAACTTAACTGGCATTGTGGTACAAAATGAAGTAATCAAACAGAATCCACTGCAACTTCAACAGTTATTGCTAAAACTACACTAAGCAGTTCCTACATGTTAGATATACAGACATTTAGAGCACTAATTTGACGCCAAAGTTCGTAAGATCCACTCATTTATAGTTATTATTTGTTTTATTCCTTTATGTTGTTAGAGGAAACTAGGGCTTCAAGCTAGAGGTTTGAAGTTCAGGTAGCAGTGGTTTCATTTTTACAGAGTGGGGTTGCTAGCCTCAAGCTCTCTCTCTTTACTGGCCTTACTACCGGCTTAGCGAGGTCCAGGAGTGCATCGGCCGACGATCGAACTCCGGACCATATGCGCGGTTGGCGGGCGTTCTGCCGCTGAACCACCGACGCAAGATCCACTCAAAGGAGTTAAAATGACTACGGTTAGAATAAAATTGCTACATTTCATAGAATAATGACACTACTTAAAGAACAGAAGAAGAGGAATGTTCACTAAAATAATTGAATGACAAGGGATGATTACTACACATTGACATAAACAGGAAATAGAGAATATTGGAATTCAACCCGAACTATAAAGGATAATCTGCTGTTTATGTAACTTGAAGGTCGCTGGGGTTAGATTCTGCATAGGATCGTCAGTGTATGTTACTGAGAAATTCTAAAATAGGACTAGTGTAATATGGTTCTCATTTATTGTTTCCTTAATGAAAACAATTTTAAAAATCAATCAACTTCCCGTAAATCTCACAAAAGGATGACTGTAATTTTTTCTTATCTAACAATTCGCAGGTGGTTCAACAGTAACTCTACGACAGTAGTTTAGGAAATATGAAGCATATAAATTCTGTGTGTGATCAAATATGAACTTCTGAAACACTTAAGACCTTGATTTCCGAATCTCAGAAGAGACATGAGTTCCTTTCAAGGTTGCAGATACGCCTTGCTGGCTGGTGAGTGCCAACTAGCACGAAACCTAGGTCGAAGGCTTCCTGCCGATTGCCTCCAACCATCTAATAGCACTAATTTATCCTATAATTCTAGCAGAAAACTGATTCATAGTTAGAGACTTAAGAATCTTAATAATCTCAGCTAGCATATACACTGAATAACTCACTCATCATTAATTGTTCACACCTGGCAACTTCATTGAGAATATCACTAGAACAAGCTTCAGTAAGTTTACGACCCAATTCACGCTCAACATGCGTGTTTAGTTCTCGCTTGTATACGTGTAATAAAGCCGGATCTGGATGGAAAGGACGTGAATAACTGTCAACAAGTTCACTTAGGCGTCGAATCTCTGAATTTAAAGCACTGGCAACTTGAGCTTCAACGCGAGCTAAACTAGCATGTAGCATTTCATCCACAGCCTGAGTTACCTTCATCAATCGAGCTCGTACTTCTTCTAAATGTGCTTGGGACAGACGACGACATCGAACAGCAGCATCTCTAAGGAAAATAATTTTGGCAATAGTAAAGATAATTAACAATAAATACAGTGATATGTATAACTGATAGTAACGGTTAAAAAATAAAGGTTCATGAATAATCCCCCATTCAGACGTTAATTAAAAAAACACGTAGTTCAGTGAAGAGTCATTTTTCGGCGAACGCATTCACTTAGCTGTACAATCGCAATTATATATGCTTATTTTAGTATGTGTGTACATTCGGTTTGTCCGATAGGAAAAAAAAATAATTTAGGGTTATTGTTGTCAAGACATTTCAAAAATGTGATGAGTAATCAAAACTGTAACCAGGGGGAGGTGAAGATTAGTAAAAGGGTAGTGGTGATGTGTTGTCAAAAAACATTTATTAACACATACAAGAAGTTTAATAAGCATAATACAGTTACGTAATAAGATGGATAGTTTAATGAGTGAGTTTTGATTAGGATGCACATAGAAACAAAAGAAAATATGGAATTATTTAAGAGTTCTAAAAATTACAAATGTTATAAGGAGATAGAAGAAAAAACAAGCATCCGAGCATCAAGTCAGTCGAAGTCAACACGGTTGTTACCATGATAGTAGAAGTGGTTGGATGATTTTCTTTTGTATTCATTACTCTGGTTTTTCCAACTGAATGGCTAAGGTTTCAGTAACACAAAGGAGACGAAAGCGTATTGCCTTTGGCAGGTTATTCTTTACTTTGTAGATCACTTTGAAGAAGGCGTTTCTTGAGATGGAATGACCAGTGTTGACGAGATATTTGATTATCTCACTCCTTCTACAGCCACCGTTACCTTTTCGTAGCCATGCGGGATAGGATACGCATTGAACGGTCGGTCGGTCGGTCGGTTTTTCGACGTAGAACTTTGCACATATGTGCGGCAGTTCAAGTCGCCACACTCCATGTAGCACGCAAAGCAAGAGAAGAAAGTAGAAGAAATGCATAATATAGACAGTAAACAGAGGTGTGAGACAAAGGAATAGTAATAACGGAGAACAAAAGTTTAATTGGAAATCATAAGTCACAAGGAGTGGATGCATCTGCGCCACTGAGAACGATTTTGAGCCATGTCACCAATTGTTTCCAACCATTGGTTTTTACCATCCCGAGGGCCCCAACCAGGAAGTCTACATCTTCCTACGTGGCTTAGATTAACTGTTGTGGATTTCATTGATTGGTGCCATGTTTTGGTTTGACCGCCGCTAGCTCTTTTCCAGCCTGACCCTATATCAGCTAACATTGCCCGACGAGGAAGGCGATGACTAGGCATACGTAGCACATGTCCTAACCATCTCAGTCGAAGTAATTTCACAGTCTCGTCGATTGATTTCCCCGCCTTACCTAGCACTCGACGCCTAACCTCAATATTACTCACCTTATTATACCACTTCACGCGGGAGATAGAACGCAGACACCTATGATCGAAGACAGCTAATCTTTTCATGTCTTCTGCTCTCAATGGCCAGGTCTCACAGCCATAAAGGAGGACGGAGCGGACTGTTGAGCAGTACACACGCCCTTTGGTCGATAGTCGGATATCGCGTCTACGCATTGAACGACTAATTTACCTGGCTCCACAAAAACAGGTGAACTGATATACGCACATAGAAGTGGCCAGATGCGAGGTATTGTCCATAAGGCATCTGCAGATCAATGGATGACTGGAGGACACTACTCTTAGCGTTGCTGCGAAGAATGTTCTTTTCTAAGATGCTGCAGTTCTTCTCTTGAAGATATCGCAAGCTAAGTCTCCCTTGAAATCCAGATTCATGTAAAGTATCTTTTTTGAAACAAGTGATATTTCATTCCTCTGGACCTTTGGTTTGATATTCTTGTCGATGAATCTTGGTGAGAATCCATTTTGGATGAAGGTTTCTTTCAGGAGATGCAGTTCTGCTTCCAGGGAGTCTGGACTGCAGATACGTTGGATCCGAGTGGTAAGGCATTTATTCAGGTTTCGTTTCCGCTCAATTAAGTGACTAGTTCACCCGTTATCAAGAATAAGTAAGACTGCACAAATCACCTGTATACAAAGTAAATCCAGTGATAGTAAACAAAAAGTAGTCGTACATATAGGAATGCCGACAGCCAATAAAGTATAACCCAACAAGAGGTACGGAATAATTATTGACATAACTAAAAACCAGTTTATTTATTATTTTATTCCTTTAAGTCCCAATTGGAACATAGGGCTTCAAGCTAGAGCTTTGAAGTTTCCGCAGAAGTGGTTCTCTATTTTTACGGGGTGGGGTTGCTAGCTTCATGCCCGACCTTCACTCTTTACCTGCCATACTACCGGCTTAGCAAGGGTAAAGCAGTGTGTCAGCCGGGGATCGAACCCCTGACCATGTACATGGTTGGCGAGCGTGCTACCGCTGAACCACCGACGCACTGCGAAACCAGTATTGCCTGCAATCGTTGTTAATAACATGAAATTTATATCAACAAAACAATGGTAAGAAAATGACTAAGACATGACATACACAAAGAATAATAAAATCCTCAAAAGAAAACTACAATCTGAATGGTATAGTGAAAAGAAACATGTACACCTTTGATACGACGAAATGGAAACAGGAGTATTTCAAATGAAAACTTCACCTAAATGTAAAAGATGCTTACTTTTCTTCAACGGTAGTTTCATAGATGGTTTCCATTATTGTTCGAAATCTATTCACCACATCTTTACCTTGTTCAGAATGAGCAGCAAATTTAGTTCGGGTAGCAGACTCTGAAAGATTTTTCTATGGAAAATAAAAACATTTCAGATTAAATCTTCAGTATACATCCGATTGTAAAAAACAACACAGAAATAATCAAAACATATCATTATGATAAAAGTACATACTAAATTTAATTTGTGTCATTAGGTTATGTCAGATGAAAATACTTATGTAATCATTTTGCAATATTGTTTAACCATTGGATCAATATTTACCTGAAACAAAATGTTCAGATAAACCGGTGAGTCCAAATTGTCTACTCACGATAGACATCAATGGATTCATTCATTTTAAACACCGACTAATGACTGTTACAGTGACTAGAGTTTGTATCAGTAATAAGGGGAAAATGTTGAAGTATTATGATATACATTGTAAGACAACTGTGGTGAGAGCTGTTTGCTAGCCAAAATTGTAGACAACAATTTACGTCAATGTTCACGTCGCGTATCGGGGTCATGAGAAAAAACACAATAACAAAGCTTAACCTTGAGGAACTCACCAACCAATCACAGCAGACTTAACGTGTGCAAATACGATTCGCAGATATATGGCTTAACTTTCTAAAAAACGGTCACAAGCAGTACAGAATAACCTTCAGCAAGAAAACAACCAATCAGAAGAGGTTGCTTCTCAGCTAACAACGCTAATAATAATGTACATAAAAATTTATAAATATCTGTTGATTTTCTCAATAAACGATCTGTTGACTGGCCCTTGTCTTCTGTCGTTACACAACTACTTCTGATACTTGGATTAATATGCATTATATATTGCGAATGAGATGACACTGACAGTATTCAAGAATGCTTATTTGTTTACGTTATTTATTACTTACCACTGGTTGATTATGTTGAACTAAAATGCTCAGTTTCTGATGATATGTCAACTGCTAGTACGGACGCTTCAACAACCTCTTAAGGGTTAACATAATGTTATTTGATTGATGGCGGCCAACAGTGGAATCCTACTAGATGTACCTGCAACCTAGTGGGTGGTGGTGGTGCTCCCAATGATACTCGAACCCACCAACTCAATCGACTGAGTAACCACCGCCTGGTAGATAGCACTGTGGATTTCGAAACAATTGGTTGGGGATATCGGTGGGATTACCATCACTTACCAGGAAACGGGTACATCCAAATGACATGTCCCAACTAAGAAGACACACGTCCTGGATTCCACTATTTGTCATCAGTAACTAAACAACTGTTGAAATTTTGTTTATATTTTTATTCTGATTCAAAAGAATGCAGTTTAACGCAGTAGTGTGGCGAGTGCTACTGATACGGTTTATCAGTAGTGTATAAAGAGATGTTCATCGGCATAAAAACATCAAACAGCAGGGGGATGCATTTGATTTCAGAGAAGGTAAATTATACAGCATTGTGGAAATACATGGGAGACGTGAAAGGAACACAAAGAAACACAATATGAAGTCCAGAAGTACCACAACACGAAGATCTGTGCAAATGGTGCGTTGAAGATAAGGCGTACATAATTTGGCTATGTGGAGATACCAATTTCCTAATAAACATTCCTTTACCAAGTCTTTCATCTTCTACCGTTACAGTAGTACATATTTAGTTCCCGGGCAATATTTTTTCACTACTGCATTCGTCAAGAATAAATCGAAGATGAATAAATTGAAGACGTTGAAGATGAGGCAGTAACTCATCGAAGAAGACATTGCGAAATGGTCGCGCTATGTCGTGAATTGGCAGAAGTTAGAATTCAAGGACCATTTGATCGCGTCCCAGTGGCTCAATGGTCTACGAGCTCGCCTTGTAACCAAAAGATCCTGGGTTCGAACCCTGGCGGTGGGTGCGTATTGCTGAAGAGTCTCAAACTAGGACGAAACAGCTATCCAGTACTCCCAGGTTTTCCAGTGGTTCTCTAACTGATGTCAGCTCATGATGAAATCCTCCATGCAATCAAACAAAAACCCTAAAAAACCAACACTTGAAAATAAATCGAAGCACAGATATTGAAGATGATTCACATAACATTGAAATTACAATAGATGCTTTAAATTCACCATTCATGATGGTACAAACAAATTCAAAAACTGTCAAGTTCGGAGTCCATTTTCTAAGAAATAACTTTCCAAGAAAAAGGTACATTTATTCGTATGTTAAGAAAAGTATTGGAAACAACCAAATTAACTAATGACTACGTGGCTGTACTCGGTTGTCTTTTTTTGTTTTGATCTCACTGAATAGGATTAAAAGTGTAATTCAATATGTGAAACCAAATGAGCCAAAATGTGGAAGGCTAGCTAAGTCATTGTTATCAACACACACACAGAAAAAAAACAGATATAAGAAAATAACTCCACCACTGACCTCGAAAACTGCTTCGAAATTCTGAAATTCTATAAGCCTGTCTTTCCATCCTTCAGCCATATAGGCCACTAAAATGAATTAAAAACGATGAATCGTATAATATTGTGTGAAATAAAAAAAATCTTCACAAAGACTCAATGCCTGCTGATATAACATCTTTGAACAAACATGTAAAAAGACAAGTATTATTTCTATCTGTTACAAAACCTAAATAGTCAAACTAAACATCGCATCTTGAACAGTGATTCACTGTTAAACACTTTCTGAAAATGAAAAATTGACAAATAACAGAGAAACATAAGAATTCCAGTTAATTGTCTAGCGTATATTTGTTGATCTTGAATGATTTTCTTATTCAAAGTGTTTCAGGTGTCAAAACTACCAGGACCGAGTCTGACGTAATATAGAGTGAAAAATACTTTCCATTAGGCTATTTGTTACTTAGTGATTCATAGAACTAGGGCACAACGGTCTACACATTAATGAGTCATAAGATTTAAACCAACTGCACTAGACGCAGAGTGGAGCAGCCGCAGTGACACTTACCCTAAAAAGTAAGTTTCCATCCAGGGCCTAACAAGGAAGCGACTCACCACTAAAACCCATGTAACACAGTCAGCGGTAACGTCTCTGACTGAAGCACTGGATGACATGGGTTCGAGTCTCAGAAGGCACATGAGTTCCTTCAAGGTTGCAGATAAGCCTTGCCGACTGGTGAATGCCAACTAGCACGAAACCTAGGTCCAAGGCTTTCTGACGATTGCCTCCAACCATCTCCACTTTATGTAATTTGCCACTTTTCGATGATGAGGTATAAAAACTAGATGAATGATAACCGACCTTAAAGACAGGGAACTCCGCCAGTGAATTTGTGACACTGGGAAAAGATCCAAAAATTAAGAAGAATTGGTTTACTGATAGTCAACAAATGAGACATGCAAGTTAACAGTTTGTCTTTTACACTGACATCTAATTATTTTCTTCCACGAAGAATGTTCATAGGATAAGAAGAAACTTACTTAGCTGAGCAAATTTACATATATGTCTTGGTGTAGTAGTGCATAAAACAAGTTGCAATAATTCATAACAATAAAGCGAATCACGCAAACCGAAAAATTAGAAGGAGGATACAAAAACATTGTGTTGCATATATAGAACACTTAGAACCACATAGGCGGGAAAAATATTACCAACAGTGTGATTTATTCAAAACTAGATCAGATGAGGATTTTTAACATACAAAGCTTCAAATATCCTACATTTTTACGGAACCTATATGACGCAAATCTCTCAAATATAAACATCAATGAAAGTTACATTTCAAAAGACAGGGAATTTAAACGAAATTCAAATGATAAACAAACGTTTATATAAACTCAGATAACAATGAATTAAACACCTCAAGTATTAAAATCGTATTAATATCACATCGGCAACTAACCTGCTGGTAAAGGAGATCCTATGCTTGTGGCTGCCCCAGGAGGAGCTGAATGAGGGCTTTCACCTAAATTAGCTTTCGTTCGCATTGCTAATGCTTCGCGTGCCGAAACAAAGAACACATGTCCTTCTGCTTCTGCACGTGAACAAACTTTCAACTCATCCACAAGGAATGCTACACAACGCTGAAGATGTTGTTCACGAACCTGAACAGAAATTTGAAGTAGAGTCAAAAAAATATCAGTCAAGGATTTTTTAAATATTTTAATTAAACAGTATATCATAAAATGATCAGTGGTTGGAAAGTAGTGATAGATATATTAGCATAGAATGCAAACTGATTGAGGAACCCTTAACTAATTCACCAGTATTAAGTAATCGGACAGTAAATTGAACAATCAAAATATGGATTAAACTGAACTTCTACCGTTGCTATTAAGACACATAATGGTTGCCAGTGAGTACATGAGCATCGAACCATAAATTATCTACAAATTAATTTGTGCTGCAATGTTATGTAGACATTCGAATACTCGTATTATGAGCAGATTAAATGAGTAACCAACAATACGACTTTAGAATATTTTTGTGTCTCTATCGACCACACATCATTGAGAATGAAATATGAAAACTAAGATTATTATTGTTTCCTTTAGTTCCTAGGGGAACATAGGGCTTCAGCCGCACGTCTCCGTTGCGTTCGGTTCTCTGCTAACCTTTTCACCTGGCTCCACGTCTGCTCACATCATTTCATCTCTTCTTCGCATAAACTCCTCCATGTCACCCTCGCACTCACAACCAACTCGCCGCTTCCCATTCGGGTTCCACTCGACAGACAGCCTGGCGTGTGATGTCACTTGATGTTTGCTTTTTCAGAGTATGGCCAATCCCACTCCATTTCTTTCTGCACACATTCCTGTTGCAGAATTGGTCTCTGGTTTGTTCGCTCACAGAGATCCCTCCCTGTTGCTGATCTTTTCTGGCCGGCCATCTGATCTTGACTAGTATTGAGCGAAGACAGCTGTTGATGAGGGTCTGTAGTTTGTTCGAAGTGCCCTTTGTGACGCTCCAAGTCTCTGATCCTTATAGTAGCACTGACTTCACATTGGAGTTGAAAATCCGGATCTTATTTTTCATGCTGAGCAGTGCTGTTAGGGAAGCTTGCCTTGCTTTCCCGATCCTCGCTTTGATATCCTCGTCAGTTCCATCCGCCTGTAGTTGGAACGATGCTTCCCAAGGTAGATGGTAAAGGAGATTGCTTCAAATTTTTCCCATTTATGCTGATTGTTGTCTGTTGTTATTGCTGTTGCTGTTAGCCAGGAATCATCACCTCTGCTTTCTCTACGTTCACCTGAAGGAAGCCCTATCTTTGATGCTTCTTCTGCCAACTTGTTGCTTTTCACTTGCATATCTTCCAGTTTGTGGGAGATCAGGCACATATCTTCAGCGAAGTCCAGATCCTCCATTTTATGCCTGTTTCCTCGTTGCCCACTGTCTGTTACATTATCCAGTCCACCGCAATCAAGAAAATCATTGAAGATAGTAGGCAGCCAGCTTGTCTTACTCCCGTCTTCACTTCGAAGGATTCCGTGAGTTTCCCGTTGTGGATTACTTGGCATGCAGCATTATCGTACAACTGTTGGATGAGATGTATAATTGTCGGTGGCACCCCGTAGTAGCGAAGTAGTTTCCAAATCACCTCTCGATCGACGCTGTCGAAGGCCTTTTCAAAGTCGATGAAGTTGAGGTGGAGAGCTGACTGCCATTCCAAGCTCTGTTCAATGATGATACGTAGTGTTGCGATTTGATCGATGCATGACTTTTTTCCTGAATCCAACCTATTTGGTCAAAGGTTTTCATCCAAAACGTGTTCGATTCTCTCCAGGATGATGTGGCTTAGTATTTTGCTTGGAATAGACAGTAGCATAATGCTTCACCAATTCTTTTAGTGACTTAAGTCTCCTTTCTTTGGCAGTTTGAATAGGTAGCCTTTCTTCCAATCCGCAGGTACTTCGCCCTCTTTCCACACCTTCTTCAGTAGTGATGTCATCAAGTCCACTAATGTCTGTAGGCCTATTTTCAATGCCTCTGCGAGGGTTTCGTCTGGTCCTGCTGCCTTTCCAGTTTTAGCATCTTTATGGGCTTCAGGATTTCTGCTTTCATCGGAGGGTTGGTATCCACTGGTAGTTCCGCCTCCGCTGTTGGTATTATTGGGCATGTTGTAGGTGGCGGTCGAGTTAGAAGTTTTTTGAAGTGTTCAGCCCAGTGTTTCTTTTGCTCCACCTCTCTGGTTATTGACTTTCCATTTTCATCCTTCACTGGCTTAATTAGTGTCGATCTCTTCCCCGATAGGAACCTAGTTTTTTGGTAGATATTTTTTTACTTAAGACTTATTTGTATTCCTGAGATTCAATAAAGCACAGAATCAACTGGTTACTGTACACTTTGATGAAGGAACATAAGGCTGCAAAAGACAAAGGATACTCTACCAGTTTGAATTCAACCAAAAGCTGTATTCAGCTTTTTCTCACTTGATTGGTACAACTATTTTAACACACTTAACGTTCATTTCCCTTTCATGCCTCTTATTCAAATCAACTTAATATATATAGGGCATATCTTCACATTTTCACTTGATACCAAACTATGTAGTACGCTTATAGCATAACTGTTGTAGTCAATAGTTAGAGCATTCCTTTCACAATGTTTCTAGTAGGAGAACTGTTCCCACTTTAAAAACTTATCTCGTGAGTTTCGAATTACATTAATTCTTAAAGAAAATGAATGATACAAAAAGCAGTGAAAGAAAATTAAACAAATGCATACCTCGTTTACGTATTCTATTTCATTTGCTGAAGCATCCCAACGATTATTAATAATAAAAATGTTAGGCTTGGATAACTTCTGACTAACTTTGTGAAAGAAATCCTTCTCCTAAAAATGAAAAGCAAAGAATGACCTGTAAAAGATGGCTTAGCACAAAATCTTCAACTACAAACAAGCTTTCAGCAGATTCCTATCAAAGTGAACTATAGCTAAAAAGCTCTAATAAGTTGAATCTCGAATGAATAATTTTGAAGCGAAACCTTCATTTCTTTCCTATTGTTACAAAAGAAGTATTGCTGATCCCTGACGTTAGATAATCTATTCCATACTTGGCCAAATCCTGACTGCTTGTTACTCAACTAGAAAAAAATTCCTTAAAATATCTAATAAGAGAATTCCTTTAAGTTTACAATTGTCAATCCCGATCAAACTAGCATTTCTATAGTTTTCTAAATAAAACTTAAACACGTTAAATACTTACAGCTTGCATCAATGTTGACTCGGCATTGGCAACGAGAATAAAAACATCTGCATCCAAGCAATGAAGATCGATCCACTTATCCATATCGGGATCTACATTAATACCGGGACTATCCAAAAGAACAACATCTTCACGAAGTAGTCTGCAATGTGAGTTGGGCCAAAATATCTTCAACAGCGTGTCCGCAGAAAGTTTAACACTACTGAGTGCATGAGCCAACTGACCAACAGAATCGATAGGACGAGCCTGTTCAAAAAGAATATATGATGATTTGCTTAAAAGATTTCCTACAGCTGATTAAAGTGATGAAATGTTACAGGAACTATGTTCAATGGAGATGTAGCCCATAGAGTCTCAAAAGATGGGTCCTGGTTTTAAATCCTGTCTTACGTACTAGGAGACTAGGAAGTGTTATTAACCCTTACACAATAATTGCAGATCATACCCTAGTACATGAAAAGTCTACTTTGGGTAAATGAGCTTTAACTAACTAGTAACTACGTACAGGTAAATATGATACGTTACATGCCATACTTACATGCGTGCTAATGGTACAACACCTTTAATGATTTTAAAATTAAACGGCACTAAAACATGTTTCCTATGGGATGAGTCACCCAGTTATGAAAGTGAACTAAGAACTTTGATATTTTTTCCTTCACGTTCCCCAGTGGAACATAGGGCTTCAAGCTAGTGGCTTGAAGTTTCTATAGCAGTGTTTATTTTACAGGACGGGGTTGCTAGCCTCATGCCCAACCTTTCCTCTTCACCAGCATTATTTCTGGCTTAGCGAGGTAAAGGAGTGCGTCGGCCGAGGATCGAACCCCGGACCATGTGCATGGTCGGCGAGCGTCCTAACCGCTATGCCACCGACGCAAGAACTTTGATATTAACAGCTGAATACACGAATTAGCCACTTAAATCATGATTTCACACAACCGTTACACGAATGTGAACATGACAGGCACCAGAAAAAGTTGGATTCGAAGGAGGGACCAGTATAAATTTGAGAAGAATTGCCCGAAATTGACAATTTCGATTTCTACCCTATAATGGCCTCTACAAAACACTAAAATCAATATCAATCTTTGGACACTGTGTGCTTAAGTATTCATTACGAGATCAAACTATCTGACGAACAATGGTTAAACATCCACCTTATGCCTTGTCACATTTTCAGCCGATACAATTAGTACTCGTGTGTACCTTTCTGATTTCTTTGGTTTGGCAATTACAGAACACACAAGTAACTTCTCATAACAGCTTTCAACTAAGAACAAAGATAAGTTCTACTTTCAGTAACTTCAGTATACATTTGACTAACGTAACATCAGACCATCGTGTTGTGCAATTTCATTAATAAAATTTAAAACGATATACGGTGAACAATATGTTTCATTAAAATTAAAATCAAATTCACAGACAGATACACAAATGTGCCAAACGACAACAGTTCATTCAGTTATAAACTCATTTGAAGGATTTAAACGTATCTGACTGGAATTATAATTTTAAAACCCTATGAAAACGAATTACTTAGGTGTATCTTCAAAATTAAATGACTGTTTAAACAGTTAGACCATTTACTCAGACAAGTTAACTATGTACAGTTAGCTGATATCAGTAAATGTACTTATGTCGAGCCAGTGGCATAATTCGACTTCATATAAATAAAATGTCTGGAGAAAAAAAATGAGTAACTAATCAAACCTGGTTGGGAATGTCGGACGATTCGCTGCTAGCAGTTCCAGATTCTGCCATAAGAAGGTATCCTGTTTCTTGATCAGTGCCTTGGATCTGCAGGAAACAACTGGTAGTATGGCCCAAACCAGAAGGTAATAATTTTGAGCCCAGCATTGCATTTATCACAGTACTTTTACCATTTGACGTTCTGTATATGAGAAAAGAAAAATATTCCTGTTCATTTCGTGAATGTAGAGTGCGAAAACGAAGAAAACGAAAAACAAATGTACTCGATGACTGTCCAGCCAACCTTTGCTTCAATAATTTTACATCATAAAATTAAAAGTAACGGAACTTGGTGTATCTGTATTCAGAAGTAAGTATTAAGGAGAAAAGCATGAACGGAAAGACAGAAAAATCCAAGTACTACGTAGTATAAATTCACATTGGTTCAGCTTGCCACACCTCGTAGTTGTACAACGAATAAATATGAGAAAGTGAGACAAGGAAATGGAGATAATATAAATGAAGACCGTATAGCACAATCACGCAAGACAGTAAATAACAACATAAGACAGCACAATAAACACACAAATAAATTATGAATGTATTTTCATCACTGATATTCTAAACCACATCAACTAGGTCAAATGACCATAAGTTCTCGTGGTCACTAACCTCAGCCACACAATCTACACTCTTCTACACGGCATCATCGCTCTCAGAAAGTACTTATCAAGTCTCCGCGCGCAGAAATTGTAAGACAAACGAATGCTGATTCCAAAACTTCGAACATTTTCATTCCTCGCGTGATTTTTCCGACAAACAAAAGCAATGTTACAAAAGTAAGTGTGGATAAATACTCCCAACCTCCAAAGATTTATCCTTAACGGTCATATTTATTAGTCATACAGTACAACCAAGTGCACTATTGTGCAGTATGCTAACTAACTAGTTTCAACATAGAGCTTTGCACCGATGTGCAGTATTTCTAGTCGCTACACTCCATGTAGCACACAAAGCCAGAGAAGGAAGTAAAAACAAATGCAAAATAGAGACAGTAAACAGAGATATCAGGCAAAAAGAATAGTAATATCAAAGAACAATATAGTTTTATTGGGTATTATAATTCACAAGGAGTGGATGCATCTGCGCAAGCTGTTGAGAACGATTTTGAGCCATATCACCAATTGTCTCCAACCACTGATGTTTACGGTTCCAAGGACCCTAAACAGTAAGTTTACACCTTCCTACGTGGCTTAAACTAACTGTTGTGGATTTCATTGACTGATGAAGCTATGTTTTGGTTTGACCACCACTGGCTCTTTTCCAAACTGACCCTATGTCACCTGACATTGCCCGTCGAGAAAATCTATGGCTAGGCATGCATAACCCATATCCTAACTATCTCTCTCAACCGATGTAGCTTCACAACCTGGTCGATTGTTTTCCCCTCCTTCCTAGTACTCGACGCCTAACCTCAATATTGCTCACCCTATTACACCACACGGGAGACAGAACGCAGGTGCCTATGATCAAGGAGAGCTAACTTTTTCATGTCTTCCACTCTCAATGGCCAGGTCTCCCTGCCATAAAGGACAACGGAGCGGACTGTTGAACAGTACACACGCCCTTTGGTCGATAGCCAGATATCGCGTCTACACCAGAGACGGCGTAAACTGGCATATGCGAAACTAGCCTTCTGTATCCGTGCTGAAATTTCGTCAGCGATCAACCCACCGTGACTGGCTGATGCAACTTCCCAAATAAGTGAAGTGTTCAACATGCTCTACCACTTCACTCCCTATTTCTAAGCTAGAAGTCAGTGAGTGCAGTATGCAAGACAGTAGATGGTAAATCAGATACCTCACAAAGTCGTGGAAGTGAAATAGGCCTTTCATATCTCCTGAAATCTAATCGGATGTGACTTCCTGAGTAATCGAAATGGTCGACACACTCAATTCTTTGTATAGTCAGAATAGGCATCAGCACACACCTTATTTCTCAATCTGCGTAACGTCAAAAGAATACAAAAATGAAGTATAAGATATCCCTAAACCCCTTTGCTTCAATGAACCTACTTAAAAATTGGCTAGCACTCACTAGGCATACTGTCAAGTAAAACAAGTGCAGTTATTTTACTAAAACTAAAAAATGCAGACATTTTGCGAAAGATATTACAAAGTTTAGGAACCGACTTATATTACCACCAAAAAATTATAAAACAACAGATGTACACCATAAAGCACAAAAATAAAGAGATAAGTTAGTTTTAAAATCGTAGGTGACACTGGTTCACTAGCTGGAGCACTTAACTCTCAGTCAAGCGACCACGGGTTCCAATGCTGCCCCACCTACTTCATACTGGAAGACGATGTAGTAACAGCCCCTGCACAATAAATGTGGCCCACAGCCTGGTACATAGACAAACCTTTCTCGATCAACTCAGAACACGCTTAAAAAGAAATTCAGAAAACTCCAAAGTTATTTAAGTCACCCCTAAGACTTTTAAAGCGGCAAACGCGGTACACGAAAACTCTAACTACCACTCTACTGACCCAAACCACTAACTGTAACCGCGTAATATCTGTTAAGTTAATTTGGACGTAATTAATAGCATACCTTGGACACCTCAGCATGGATGAAAGCATTTTTTTGATATGAGGAAACGCAGAACTATGTTTGGGACTGAAAATAAGCGCGATAAGTTACTGCTACTTGTTGCCAACATACACGACAGGTAACCTGAAGTGTAGCAACATTTTACTTTAAAATACAAACAATTATTTGCCTCCCACTTCGCAAGAAAGTTATTTAAAATTACCTTAGAGATTAGCGGGTAAACAGACAGATTTGTAAAGCAACTAGTAATAAAGATATCAAAGTCAGGAGGGGGCTTTGAAGGAGGCTACAACATCCCTATATGAGATAGTGCGAATAGTTTAGATTGTAAAGATGGCACGAATACACCTACTTGTGGTCTATTTCGATTTCTATCGTTACTGCCCTCCAAGTATTGGCCTGAGCTTCTATAGAAGCTGAAGCCGATGCATATATATATATAATATATATATAACTACACAAATTACTTAGGGATTTTTATCATGAGATTAAAAAGCAGCGGAAAACATGGTTCACTTGAAATCGCCTCCACGTTAAAAACAAGACTACCAGTCATAAAACCCAAATTACCTCCCAAAAAATGCACATTTCATTTGGTTACGGGCAATTATTTCTTGAATATTGCGAATTTTCTGTAGTTGGTGATCAACTTCTAAAAACGTGCCTTCTCCAATTAGTCTGGAGAATTTCTCTTCTATTGGAAAATAAAAATTAAACAGTTTTTACCTTGACTTTGTTCCTCAGTAAATCTATGACAGTCGGACACATAACTCAAAATTTCATCATATATACTGCCTATTTCCTTTTTAGCCTCCTTGAATTTGTTCAGATGTGGGTGACTGAGTTGACGTCGAAGGCCTGTTACTTTCTGACGCAAGTCACCCGCAGCAATGTACGGATTTGATGACATTACAACTACTAAAGCTCGGAGAGAAGGGGTAGCGGACAAAATCAAGCAACTTTCTGATTAGTTACCTTGTGTCCAATTTCCAATGGACTTCAGACCAGAACCTAGTTACCTGGTAAGAAAATCAACAAAACATATCAATATAATTTTGATGATATTTAACATATTTCCGCTTTTTGCACTGAAAAACATACACTCATTCCAAAGGATTTGCGTTATGCATGCCTTATGAAATGTCACAATAGTTACAGTCATTTAAATAATTGAAAAAGTTCATTCCAAGTGTCTTTGAAAAAAGTGAGGAAAAACGAAAATTCGTAGTCGACTGTTGAACAAAAGCGTGGCTAACGAAAAGAATTACTTATAATATAACGCAAGGATTTGCTCGTCGGTGGCACAGCGGTTAGGACTATCGCCGACCATGCACATGGTCCGGGGTTCGATCCCCTGCCGGCGCACACCCGATATCAATGGTCGGCCTGCAAAATTTGGGCTACCGATATCACATGCTGAAAATTCCATACTTGTACCAAAAATACTGTGTGGTTTCAAGCTATAATCAAAATCAAAAAAATATTTAAGGCCGTCTGAGAAGTAAACGACAAGAGGGTTTCGGAAAAATATATTGGACAACTAAATTTTTCTAATGATTATTGTTATTGTTCCCTCTCGAATATGGTGGATATTGGTCAGTCAGTCCACAAATTTTCACAGCAAGAACTATGCGCAAGTTGCATCACGAATTTGGCGATTCTAAATCTTCATTATGTCACTGGTCGCAGAAGAAAACATCATACAGATTTCCAGAGCTTGGTATTGGAATTCCAGTTAAGCAATTTAGTGCTCACTAAACCCACAGCAGCTCTCAATAAGATTAATCAAGGAATTTCACTACGGTTTAGTCGCACTTTCATGAATAAATCAAAGAGTACTGGAAGTATTGTACATTGGCAGGACCGAATTTTGTGTGACTGAATAGTTTTAACATCTGACATCTGAAATTGCGGTTATTTCTGCAAACAGACACAAGGATCTGAAAGAAACCGGAGGAAGACCAAAAACTTTGTGCATCTATGCATGTCAAAAACGTCTTGTATATTTTGTGAACTTAAAATACAATACAATTTATCTACTTATTTTCAAATATCTCAGCCTCACTCAGCCAAGGCGACCCGTAAACACAGACTACTAGTCACCTTGTTTCACCCTACATGCCCATTCCTTTTAAAATTATCATACTGTGGTCCTATTTGAAAGCCGTCGCATTTCGCACAGGGTTCAAATGTCCATGTTTTAAATGATAAATATGTTACTTGAGAGAATGTACAGCATTTGCATGTGGGACTTTCAGCATTGAAGTCTAAGGTGAACTGTTCTCAACTGAACCCATGTCACTTCCCTCAAGTAAAATATCCGGCGAAAAGTATAGCTTTATGCTTTCTTATTGATACCTTGTTAATCGTTGTTCTAGTTAATTTGATGACACTGCAGTACTTCTCTCAAACTAAACACTTTTGTGAGAGGTTGCGAGAAGCCTTACTGTTGTAACGATTAAATCAATCAAACGCACATATGGAGACTAGGACGTAACACTCGCCAACCATCTCAGATATTTTTCCTGAAGATTTTACGTATCAGTCAACGGGCTAACCTAAATTAACGGCATCTATTGATATAAGTATAAAACTTGGGCACTGTGGTGGAGCATAACTCCATTATGGATAAGATTTTATTTTGATAATCAGACAGATAATCATATCAACTTGATATGATTATGAGCAATAGTTTATGCTCGAAACGTCATCAGTTAATATTACTGTACAACACTGTCTGATTATCAAAATAAAATCTTATCCATAATGGCATCTAATTTAGTGACGGACTTTGAAGAAGATGCAGATCATGGCAAAGGATTCTGATGTTTCGTAAATCAAAAATAGTGAATATTTTGAAAGTATTCCCTATTTTACACAGCCAATCCTTTCAAGTACTTATCAAACCCAACGGTCCCTAACATCCTCAGCTTTTATTTATCCCCAAGATGTCCGCCAAATAAACCTGTTCAAGGCTTTTCAAGTTTAAATCCTCTGAAGTGGCTAGAAATTTTCAGTAGCCTCGCAAAGCAAAGGTCACGTTATCCAGCAAGACACCTAGGTGAACACTGAGATGCTAGGCCCAAGCACGTCCACAGAACATGGTACCGATCAGCCTTACTCGCCAAATGACACGTACATCAAGCTTCGAGACAACATCACGTGACCTTCTTGCCTCGCCTCATTCATGCACTCCAACTTCTGTGAGAAGCCATCAACTGCTCAGCCCTAAAGTCCGCCTGTCATTATTATTCCCTTAGATTCTCAGTGAAATGAAGGGCTTCATCAGCACATCTCCACTTCATCCTGTTTTTCGCGATCTTCTTTGGCTGGATCCGTGACTGCCCATAAGCCCCTATATCCTTCATGTCATCTTCAGACACCCACTCGCCGTTTCATATTAGGGACCTGTCGCGCGACGTCACTCAACAGTCTCCTCCGCTCGTACTAGGTCCATTTTGACGTATTTGTTGTGTTAGCATTCGGTTATTCGTTGGTTGGTAGCCAGAGTTCCCTAGCGTTAATGCTCTCAGTGTGGGGTGACGTTAGCTATTAATGAAAGCTTCCAGGCTGTTCGAAATACTTTAAGCGACATGCCAAGTCTCTGAAGTATATATAAGCAATCACTGACTTGACATTTGTGTCGAAAATCTGAACCTTGTGCTCTACGCTGATCGCAGTAGATTTCAACACCGACTTCAGAGTAGTCAAAGCTGAGTTGGCTTTCTCATCCTGCCCCATCTGTGCCGCCGCCTGCAATTGAAACGATGCTGACTAGACAGGTCAAAAAAGTGACCTGCAATTTTCCCACTTTGGTAGCGACTGAGGCTTTTTTGATTAGGTGGTTTCATCATTCATGTCTTTCCCAAGTTCACTTGAGGTTCTCCCTTCTCTGCTTTTCCCCCTACTTTTCCAGGGTTTTCTATGGAGTGCTTTTGGAGCTATGGAAACAACTGGCTAGTCGTTACTTTAAATCACCCCATGAAGATGCCGAATACATGTAGTACGTCTACATGGAGCAAGTTACTCAACTAGTAATTTACAGAGAAATGTAGTAATTCCGTTCGTCGACTTAGTTTATTGCAAACCTTTATTAGTGAAATGGTCTTATAAGACTGTTATCGGTCACTTCCTAGTTTGAGCACCTCCTACTGCTGCACAGTAGTCAATAGCACGTTCATCCAAAACCAGTCGCTGGGGTCTTCCGGTTCCTGTCTCTTCAGCATAAGCCAACAACTTTCTGAGACTCTGCTATATGCATATACTCTAAGTCTATCCAGATTACAGTTCAAATGCGTAGCGAAATGATATGCCTGGGAAAAGGTGTGAGTGACGAATTCGGCTATACTTCTAGCTATCGGAATCAGTGCCTTACACTGTGAACGTCTTGACCTAGTGTCTCATCGCTATGCTGGTACCTTGGTAATGTTTAACACTAAGGTTGGCCACTTGGTATATTCCGTTGAGCTGTCTGTGGGTGCCATCCAGAATAATGGCTGATGCACTCAAGCTAGCCTAGAAACCAGCCTTGCCAAACGGAGAAGGGTGTTAATTGGAGAGAATAGTCAAAACTTGGTTAAGCTGAGAAAGAAACTGTTCGACTAACTGCCGCAAGCGGGCTACTCAACACAGCCTCGGTGAGGTAGGATTAAACACTGCTCTCACAGGCAAACAGGTGTTTACTCACCTCACTCTGGGGATCCCTGCAATGCAAAACAGGAAGGAAGGTGCAGTTAAAGAAGTAAAATATTTCAACACTCCCTGAAGATTGCTTCACCTCCCAAACAAAAAATAAAGCAATAAACAATTGGTAAATGTAGTAATAAAATGTGAAGACATGTTCGCAGGTAATTTCCTCAAGCATTCAGATCTGAAAAGATATTATGTGACCTGAAAAACGAGAAGTGAAACCAAGTGCAGGAAATATGTGTGCAATATGTCAGAGGCAGAACAAAATTTTTACTTCTCCATGTGTCATAATTGTGTATGTAAATGAACATCTATGTAGAAATCCTTGATCATGGGCGCTACAAATTTAACTCTAAACTTGAGGGTTGATCAGTCTTTCGAAAATTAACGGCACGGGAAAAGCGGCGAAAAGTTCTTTCAGTGAGTGTAAAACTGCGAAGTAACATGAATAAAGCCTGTTCAGTTATGCGAACATGGCCTTATTCACTAATTACTGTGGATGAAATTAGGATGGTATTCCGAATAAATATAATATTCTTCTACCAGTTGTCAGAGTTACCCAGATATCCGGTTCAATCTCAGTTACATCAATAATTTCCAAGTTGACTTCAGTTCAATAACTGTGAGCTCATTCTAGACAGGTTACAACAACCAACAAATCTTTAACACTCTGTCACAACAACTACAGAAGTCAAAATGTCATAATCTAGCTCCTGATAACTTTCCGATTCTCAGTTGCAATCCATGGAAATTGGAGGATTATGTGAGACTGAGGCAATCACGGAAACACCTTCCGAAGACGGAAGGACCATACACTACCACCGAGAGACGTGGTTCTGTATATACCGTCAGAAGAGGAGACAAACAGAAGCGTGTTAACACTTGCCAGGTCCAGCGATGGATAAAATCAGGTAATCAAGGCGATAGCGAGGCGCAACAAAAGTGGATAGCTCCAAGCAGGTCAGCTCCTCTCGAAACTATTCGACGGGGGAGGAGTGACGTGTGCTAATGACAAGATTTATTGGTATGATATAGGCACAGATTGATAGAAAGCGACTGGCATCTAAGTAGTCCGACAAGTACACAATCACTGATAGGTACAGCGTCATTATTAAGGTTACTTGAACCTTATCAAGTATACAAACTCCTCAATGAATGACGCGACCGTGTAGTTTGTGCGAATTCGGCACTGAGATCGAGTAACACAAATGCGGTATATAGCGCTACTGCCCGAAGTGTCGTGATCCAGGGAGGAATGTTTAAAGCGAGGAAAGGAGAGGGGATGAAGCCGAGGGAGGGTAGCAGAAGTGGCTGACACTATAACTTCAATGTAAGCGGAATTCAATAACGTGTAACATAAGTATCATTCACAGTGACCACGGTATTTATTTTATGCTAAAAGGTTAAATTCTAGGAAACCATTTGGTGAGGCAGCATGAACGATTTCGAGCTCGCTTC